GTTCCACCGTGGAGGAATGTGAAATGGGAAGAGTTGTTTCAGTGTGGCTTGACTGACCTTCAGCATCGTGAAAGGCATCCAGATGTCGTCGCTTAATTAAGAATGTCTTCTCTAGTTCCTTGACTAGCATTTACGGCGTCTCAAACAAGCCTTATCGATTCAGTTGAAGTATAGGAGTTTTACATTTGGTGCTTGTTGAACGGCACGACGGATATTCCGCCTCATGCTTTCCTTTTTTGCCTTTATCGTTGCTCTATCTACGACGTCTGGTGAGTTCAATTGAACCTGAAATGACCTAGGCATAACTGTCGACGTACGCACCTCACGACGAGCTGTACGATTCGTCTGTTCTGAGGTGCGAAAAGGAGATGTGAGTGGAGAGTGAAGTTCTCGTTCATCTCTATTGTTGGGCGTGAGGGCAATGGAGGCTACCGGACGTTGGGGTGGCAGACACGGAGGCGCTGGCCACCTTCCATGTATCATGTAGTTACCCTTGAAGGTGTGAGGATGTTATTTTTTAGAAGATGGTAATGGAGGTGCCTCTATATCCCAAGTGAGCAGTGTATTTGTTTTAAAGGGGCGAACCTATCGGATGAATGCCGCTCTCATTGTCACCGCGATGTCCAGTTGCTTGCTCCTCATGGGTGAACTCATCCCCTCGACCTCTCCAGCTACGCACTTCACCCAACGAACGTCATTAATTACCCGTCACTTGAGTGTCAATCTTACCTCCGGTGACTATAGGAGTCTATTCTTTGGAATCGCAAGAGCTAAGAATTCCGCCGAATGTGTTCAGTTCGGAATGCTCTCGTCTGTTAAGCCAGAACTGCTTTTTGTGAAGACGTGGGCATTTCCTTTGCCTCTTCGTCTCTACTCTTGTAAGGAAAATGATGGTGGTATTTTGCAGAACTGTTACCCTGTGTGCGGTCTTTTAACGAAACGTCTCAAACGAGGAGGAATTCTTTGAAACGCTGTTTGCGTGACCTTTAAAGTTTGGTTTGGCAGGGCACCGTAGTGGCACAGTTAGGGATGAGTTCGAAGCTGAAAGGCGACGATGGAGAATTAACTCCATAGGACAAATTTAAGCGAGCAGAGTTACAAGGGGAGCGCTCTCCTCTCTACTATGGGTGGCTTAGCTTTGCTTGCATTCGCTTTGAGTCTAGCTGACAAAAGCACACTCTTCTGTTCGGGAGTCTCTTGTGTGCATGATCGTGACATTCGAACGGCTACGGAATTAGTACGGGTGGTGTCTGCAGTACTGCACGAATATTTCGCCTTAACCTTCGTGTCGCAATGTTATCACTATGCTCAATGCGTCTGTCGACCGTCAAAGCAGACGCCATAGCAGTGCCACGCTCGCCTGGGCAAGGAACACATTGTTTGCTGTCGACTTGGCTTTCTAGTGACAAGAGCTATGGATGGTCTTGGGTGTTTTGCGGACGTTTACGTGTTACTTTGGATCGCATTAACGCTGCTAGTCTTGTGCGCACGCAAAATTCCCATAATGAAAGCGTTTATCGTGTGCATCTTGGTCAAATGTTTGCACGAAGTGTCCCCTTAGCCTTAAATTGATCGAGGCCTGTGCGTCGTTGCCTGCTCAGAGTGTGGGCCGCAGAAGTCACTCGCATGTCATTGTTTAGGGGTGTGCTGTGAACACTGCCTGTGTAGCAGCTGAACTGATTGTGAGAGATGTCTTTGTAGCCTCAACTTGGCAGACCCTTCAGACGTCGAATAGCACATTGACGCAGATTTTGATGGATTGTTGTGCTGTTGAAGTAATGCCTTGTACCTTCGAGTGCATTCCCTCTTGACAATGGTGCGATGCGGCGGCGGCTGGCCGACCGGCCTCAAATGGGAGCAAGGAATGATGCTAAGCACTTGAAACACCTCTATTCTCCGCCTACGCAGCCTCCGTCCCCAGGCTTTGCAGTCAGGTGGTGCGTTTAATTTGTTGCTGCAGATCCTTCAAGCCTACTCTGTACAGAAAGCTGAGTTGTCGCTGGAGCTAGCTTGAACCGTAAGATGTGCGGAAAGGGCGCAGACGGAATTGCCTGCTTGTTGCAACGCCTGCTGACACTCCTTCCTAGTAAAGAGAGTTGCAAAAGTTTACCTCCTCATCTGCACTTACTGACTACGAGGGTAGTCGCACCAACCGCCTTACACCCCAAATCCGATCATATCAAACCTGGCTGTCTACTTGGACCAACAGATGCACTTTATCTGCGCCAAAGCGTACCCTCCTTCACTCACTCCCCTCCATATCTGATTCCTGCAGTCTCAGTGCCTTCAACCACGACTGCTTTTGCGTTTCAGTCCATGCACTTCATCATGGTCAATCCCACCTCAGTTCTACAAATGTGTAAGGACTAACAAATCAAGTGTGGTCTTGTTACTGCACAACTGTCGTCCCTATCGCCCTCCAAGCAGTACTTGGCCTTAAGTTGCAGGAACTTTATCCGTCAAGTGCAATACAGAGATAACCGAAACCCGAGATTAACAATGGAGACCATGGGCTGTAACAATATACTGGAGTGGTGAAGTTGACCTTGGTAGGAGAAGCATATTAAAACGCGAATCCAGCGCGTGAGAACCGTGAGGAATCCGTCTCCGCGTGATGTCTGCTATTCGACTCACCTGTACTCCCATCCTCGTTCTTCCTGTAATCAATGCCTGATAAGTGTACTGCAACTAACCCTCTCTTGAAGTCCGTGTTTCGAGAGCCTGAGGCTAGGCGAGCGCCTCCTACATAGGCCTCCAACGCCAATAAAAGATTGCTTGTCTCACCACAGATTGACTGAAATGCAGACTTGAGTGGTCGCGTGTATGCGACGCATGTTTGGTTGTCGACGTCCACAATAGTCTGACCAGCATTGACCAGGTGGGCCGATGCTGCCTGATCAAATAAGGCCAGTAAATTCAACATTTACTAGCAGATCGTAAGTAGAAGGAGTTTCAACAAGTCTTTGCTGCCCACAACTCCCAAAACTGCCCATCGACGACAGCGGCAGGGCACAATGCCCTCAAGCCATGTAATGCTTGCCCCGCTAAGACCGACAATACGATGCAACTAAACACACGCGCAACAGTACAACACCTGTAACCACTTGACACATCGCTCCTCCGACATGGAAGCAGTTTACGCACGAACAGATGCGCATCCATACGAGGCAAAATCATCACTAAAGCATTAGAGCATAGTACTCCGACTCAATCTCAATGCAGTGGCTAAACTCCATATTCTAAAGATAAAAGTGTGTGTAGAGGGGAGGGTGGACCACCTAGGCCGTTCTTGAAGCGGACTGTGTTGCAGCCAGCGCTCTTAAATCCTCTATGCACTTTCGCAGAGTCTCCTTCTCCTGGGCTGGAGTGATACCCGCCACCACCGCGGCGGTAATCCAATTCGCCATGTGCTGCTGTTGAAAACGGCGCCGAACATTCTCTCTCTCCACATGGTAGTCCTGGCAACGAAGAACGGTAGCGAAAAAGTAGGTCCAACAATAAGAATCATAATAATAAACGCTTCGATTGACCAGAAGCAACAAATTAAACTAACCAGGCGACGTGTGACGGCCTTGTAGACATTTTGGAGGCGTTCCCGGTACGCTGCCTCCAGTTGCAAATCAATGTTCTCCTTCTTTGCAGCTACGAGTTTGGGGAGGAAGGCAGCGCGTGCTATCTCCTCATCTGCCGACTTAATGGTCCTATCCAGGTTTGCCATAGTGCTATTCAGTGGTTTGGTGTAGAAATTATCAATCCGTTGCTTAAAAATTTCATTACACGTGCTCTACGCTTTTGTTTGCTGCACTTAAGATGATGGGAAGTGTGGGTTTAGGCAGTCTTCTGATTACGCTGTTTTGTGACTTTTTGATCTGCTATTGTATTTTGGTTGCGAACCCCACCTCTTTCCAATGCATGCGTCTACCCACTCTTCATTCCTAGCAATCCTTGACAAGGTTTTCTTTGTCCCCTTGGCGAGGAGTAATTAGGGGGGCAATGATCGACAGCATCAATCTGTACTGCCGCTTGGGATGGATAGAGTGGGAACATCTTTGAGCATCCAACAATCAGTTGCATTCTTTTGATGCTTACATTTAAGATGAGACATTGTGCCTTGCACGGTGGCAGCCAAACAAGTTCCTCGTCCTTATGTTCTGGCGTGAACCATCGAACCAGTTTCAACCTTTGCCATTTGGCGTTTGCCTGGATAAAGTAAACCAATGTGAAGCAATTTAATTTGCTTCAATTGCTAGTAGTTAGGTTTTGTTGCTTTGGAATGTTCGTTGATCAAGAGATTTCTGCGACTCCCCTATACTTCTCCAAATACTATGGACACTTATATCCAATTGTGCATCACTTGGAGTTGCATTCACCGAAGCGAGTTTGACAGTGTTCTGTCTCTGATGTTATGATAGTGGTCAGCTGACGTCCAAGGTAGAAATTTTGACGATCCGAAAGAGAAACACAACAGGACAAAACATGATGTACACATAAAAGCTATTGTGGTTGTGGATGATCTGATGGTCAGTATCTTTTAGTTGTCATGATTTGTCCATGATCGGTCTGTGTAGTGCTTTATTTACGTCGCTACCGGACGTTAGGCGGTCACTTTCGAATTTGTCTGGCCTCTGTACACGTGGGCAGGCCTTCGGACCACGCTCAGGCCCCATTAGCCCTGTCGTCTTTGGAATACATCTATCCAGCGTCACTTATGCCTACTCCCACCTTACGGGAAGCCTCGGGACGCTACAGTCTACATTTTGTGAACCAGTGCTGTCCAACCACGTCAAACGGAAATGGCAAGTAGCAGATGACAATATTATTCATGTAGAAAAGTGCGTATTGTGATAAATTTATAGCACTTCCTATGAGTTCACCCAGCACCAAATTCCTAAAGGCATGGGAAAATAAAACAAAAAGAGACTTTCTAGGAAGTAAGTAAACAAAATCGCAACTTTTGGTTCAGCGACTGATGCCCAATGTGCCTTTGCTCATACCCAAACATGTAAGCCTTCTATGCATGACATATGGTTAGCAGTTGTCAACAAGGTCCTCAAAAGATGCAATGATGGCAAGAGCGAATCTCAAACGGTGGGGTGAGACTTGCAAAGCTTCTGCCGAAAGCTGTGACCAAGTGATAGCTCATTCTTCGTCATCGTGCAGTTTCATCAGCAATCAGCACTCGTCATCCTGATCAAATGTGTCTGTAGCGAACCGACTTGACATACGATGCGTGTGCCGACACCTAAAGCGTAATGATCATGAGACACTGCTCGTTACGCTGTCATAGAGACAAACTGTCCACTATCATTATGCCTAGTGGAGTTGTCAGATGCCAAAGTCCATAATACCCTCAACCACTGTCTTCTTTTCCCCATTTTAAGTTTCACTTCACTTCACTTATCTGCCATGAGAGGGCTTTGGATCTCGCCTCTCACCTCTCGAAATTCTGCAGACACGCAGCAAGACCGCGTTGTAGTTTGGAACGCTCACTTGCCTAAGTCTGAAACAATGCATTTCCTCTATCAGACAGGCATTTTCTTTTTTACTGATCGATTGCGGGTGGAGGTGTCACCTCACTTTGCGCGTTTTTAATGCAGTTGCCGGTATAATACAGTTTTGCTTGGTTACTTGGCCAACGTGAATTGCTTTAAGGAACTACAATTGATGAATACTTTTAACTTTACAACTAGTACGTATTAAAGAATCTGAGGGCCCGACAGACATGAAAGGGAGCAAATGCTTCTCATTTCAGCTGCTTGATTTCGCACTTTATGAATAAAACAAAGCCTTGCAGGGAACTTAAGATGCTGCATGCGCTGACAAGCTTGAGCGCCACTTCTTCCATGCTTTTGAGAAAATTTCGTGCCTTATGAATTGCTTTTCACCATTGCGGAAGACTGGTGGTCTGTTCGACCTTTCCCGCCCAGTAGGTCTCATGTGGAGTGTGAATGTTACTGGGCTACTTATTGTTGTGGAGCAAAGATAGATCAAATGCGCAAGGAATGCACAAGATTGAGATTAGATCTTCCCAACTTTACTGGGACATGTCACTAGAAGGCGGTACCTTCTTCAGATATTCCGAACGCAACAATTTAACATACAGCTCCAAAAGTGGGCTACAAATATGTTTAGAGAAGTTAAACAATAAGTAAGTAATCAAAACAGCGACAGATGAGCCGCTTGTGAGGCATTGAAGTAATAGCAACACAAAGCTTACATTTGGCTAACACTTTACTTTTCCTTGGAAGGCAAAGCCAGAAGATTAAGGGAGTAGATCGTCATCTTCTTTTAGGCAAATTAAAACCATTCTCCCATGGAACAGTTCTCCGTTTTTTGACTAGCATTTGTAAGTGATTGGTGAATCAAAGGAAACATTATGAGGCAGCGTGGCCTGCTGACTGCTTCAAACCAGGACTCACAGCCTGTCAGTCATTTGCCAGCCACGTCGAAAAGGACTGCCTTCCTGGAGGATGAGGGCTCATTATTGCCCTCAACAAAACAAACTAAAACAGTTTCTTTAGATTCCGCGAAAGTGGAAGGATGAGTTTTAACTTTTAATCTATTGAGAACAGTAGTTGTGCGACCAACTTTACTTCTCTTCTATCTAGAGTCAAGAATGTAATGAATTGGTAGTTATTTACCGAAAGTTTACAATCCCTTTTTTCACTTTCATATTGACAAAGCATTCTCTTCAAAAGTTGTAAAAAATCACAAATGTGAGGTAATTTAGCAGAAGGCGGGGCCGTGGTTTAAACAGAAACTCAGTCCTTAAGTGCACCGCCTAATTTGTATTTATTAGGAGGTATTCATGTCAAAATGTCCAGCGGGCAAAGCTGAGTGGGAGCAAAATGAAAAGAGAAAAAAATTGCAGACCTGCTTTTGCACGCCGTTTTTAAATTATTCCCTCCATGGTAATCGAAATACACACCTCGAGAAGCTGCTTGGAGTCCACACTTCTGCAGAATGCATGCCAGTCGAGGTGCTACCACCGATTTCCACGCCTTCCTGCCGTACCCTCTGCTCACTTACAATTGGCGAGACATGCGGACTTTTGCATGCGAGCACTGGAGTTTTGTCCACCTTGAGCAGCCAGGAGTAGCATTTACCATAAGTAGTAATTCAATGGAAAAGAAATAGAGGATTATTCCCTCCGCACTGGAAAATGTGGGCAACAGGAGGGTAAGCAAATCCGACTTGCTACGTGAACACGAGGCTTAATGCAAACAAACCAGTGAAAGGGCGCTTGCAGTGGATAACTTTGAGTGAGGAATTCACATCACACGGTGTCATTAAGGTCTCGCTCTACTACTCTACGAACAGTGCGATTATATCTTCAATGGATGCCTCTCCTTTGTTCGTACAAAGGCATGAGAATTTAATTTGGGTGCTCTTCCGTTGGGGGTTGAGAAGGTGACAAGAATCGTGATAGGCAAATTCAATGCACCGTAGTGGTTGTGCAGGGATAAAGGACAATTATTTCTTGGTACTGCGCTTCTACGTCTACATTCTACTGTCGGCGTAGTTGGTGCTTTAGCACTCGTTGTTGAACAGGAAACTTCATCACCCTCGCGTACACAACGAGGTTCCGAAATTCACCCCAGCGGAAGGGTACGACACCAGTGTTAGTTAAATAAATGTGGCACATCGAAATTTGTCGTTTTCCATCTTGGTTACAAATGTTGGTGGGTGACGAAGACTGATTCTAAGAGTTCCCGAGGCCAAGAGATAAATAATTGGGAGGCTATGCAAGCCAGACAATGTCCAGCGATTCGTGGATCTCAGTGTTTTGAATTCCATATCCACCTCCTTTTAACTGGGATCTTGAGACCACTTCACAGCACTGTCGATATAGCTGAAGAAAAGCAGCTAAATTTGCCAAGAATGGTGACCCTAATTGGGGGGATGAAGAGTCACAGTCACGGCAATAAAGAAGGTTTTATGCTTTGTCATGTGGGTTAATTTAATCCAGTGAACTTACATAGGAGCTGATTTTGACATTCCTTTTCGACTCGGAAAAGCCCCATTTTGGTGTGTTCGTGTGGGAGGGGGGAGGCAGTTCGGCGCTTGCGGTGCCATCAACTTGAACAAACGGAGGCGAAGAGACGTTTTAACTTGTTGACGTGCGTGGGTAGCCACGAGGACAGCTGTCCAAAGGCTAAAAGCACAAGAAATTTCAGCTTACACGCTATTTTATTGTAATTAACATAAACTATTACAGTGAAGCGATTGAGGATGCTAGCATCAGAAAATGCCGACATCTCTTCAGTTTTTCAGACAACATTGCAAGAGTAAGAAAAGAGTGAATCTGAAAATGGGGCATGTAATCCCCTTCGTCGGTAACGACATAATGGCTTTCCTATTTTCGTGTACAGTTGTTAAGACTCTGTCTTAATTGCCTAACTTTGGGCGGCTTCTATCTGGTCTCTGCCGTGAATCGACGAGACAGCTATTGACTATGCAAGACAAAGCATCGAAGATGAGCGTCAGTGGCGTCAGTATAGGAGAGCTACCAGATTTTAGAGGCTTAGAAGAAGGCTATTAGCAGGTGATTTACCTAAGCCAGTTTGTTGTGGAGTTGTCTGCGTTACGGGTTTTGAGAAATGACCTACGCGAACACGCAATGTCCATTTCGTTCTCTGTCAGCTGTGCAGTAAGTTGAGAGAACCAGTTGAGTGGCATTACAATTGCGGAAAAGGCGATGCGAAGCAAGACTTCGGC